TTCCTGCTCAGGGCAAACCCAGATTTGACTGACTGTAACCATGTTTTTAAATTCTATTTTTATTGGTTGGCTTAGGGTTGCTTTTAATTTTCCCCCTCCCACTCCTTCAATCCATATGGTTTGATGTGTAAGGGGGAGATCTTGGCTGGTTATTGATACTGAGGCTCCCATGTCTATTAATATACTGCACGGCCGGCCCCCCACTCATGCGTTAAGAAACATCCTGGGGTCGCCTTCAGTTCCAGCCATGGAGGCCGCTAATACCTATTTGCTAGCCAGGAGTTTGAGCAACTCCTGGATTTGTTTAGCCTTTTTTTGTTTTTGGGTACTGGTTGTATTAGTTTTATTTTGCTTGTTTGGCCACTGGCCTTTTTTATTCCCCAGGGTGGAAGCAGTTTTCCTTTATGTGGCTGCTCCTTTTACAATTACTGCATGTTTTGATTTTTTATTTTATTTTTACAGTTATGTGCCTGATGTCCCGTCTTGTTACAGGTGTAGCAGGTAGCAGGTTCTGGCTGCATGAACTGTTGCAACCTCCTTAGAGGGCCTGGTTGCTGCTATCTTTTTTTCTTCCTATTTTTTACCCCTGTGGCCCATTTCATTACGGCCGAGTATGTGTTTTCAACCGAGATGCCTAATGCCAGGACTGCTTGGTGGTTTGCAGACAACCCTTCTTTTAGAATTTGTAGGAACACATTATGGTCTCGGGATGTTATATTCGTCAGGCCGGAATAAGCGCGGAATGCATTCCACTTCTTTTCGGCATAAGACATGTCAGACTCTCCGTTTTGCTGGGCCAGTGATTGCAAGGCCCCCCATTTGGTGGTTTGAGCTCCTAGTGCTATAGATAATGCATTTTTAAACTCAGTTATGCTACCGGCGTGTGGGTTCCAGGCTAGTGCTTCCTCGGCTGCCCGGTTGGGGTCATTCTCCTCAGCCCAGTGCCTGCTTTTCCATTTATTCTTTAAGTTGTCCCACACATCTCTGGGGCATTTGCACTTGGCCAGGATGTGGACATCCTTTTTATGTAAGCTGTGCATTTCAGTCATGCCATTGTAGATAAATCTCTAATAATTTTCATATGACTTTACATTGTGCCTCTTCATATAACCTTGTGGTGGGTCTACCCATGTGTGACCTCTGTTTTCATGGGACTTTGTATCAAAGCCTCATTTAGAAACTTTGCATTGCCCTTGGTATAATATTATAGCCCCTAAGGATAGAATAGGATAGAAGAAAAATTTCTTTTTGCTAGCAGTAGAACAAGAGCTCTCCCCCCCCGCCCCCCGCACTCTTAATCAATTGCCCTGTTGAATGAATGAGGTGTGGATGAGCAAGGCATGGAAGGCAGCACCTCCAGACAGCCTCAACTGTTGGAGAGGGGCTGGGAGCCAGACCCAAGAAAAATAAAACGTGTCAAGTGGGCTCATTAAAGACAAGCAGACATACTGAAGGCCTCGAGGGCCTCGGGGGTTAGAAGCAAGCACCTTCTTTTGTAAACACCCTCTTTG